GAGCATATAAGCGGAATGACAAGGTGAGGAGCTGCCCCTTCCTTCACTAGTTCTACTGATTTAGTTACGGTTGACTAAAGGATACCTCTTTTTTTTTTTTTTTGGCTTGTATGAATTGCTGACTATTTGTTTTGTTGGACAGCCTCAATTATTAGCTGCTGTTAAATTTATAGCACATCTTGTGAACCAGCAAGTGGCTCATGATATTATTCTTTAGAACTGCTAACAGTTTTGCTGGAGAACCCTACTGATGACAGTGTTGAGGTGGCTGTTGGTTTTGTCACGGAATGTGGCTCATCACCACGGTGAGAGTATCCAAATGAGCATATGGTTGATACCAGTTCAATGCAGTAGTTTTACTTATCTGTATTATGATTGATACTAGTTTAGATTCCATAATATTATGATGATGTAGGAAAGCTGAGAGGTTCAAGCATATAGGGAGTCCCTGTACTATAGTCGGGGACTATACTCAAAAGTGCAATTTAGTCTTTTTACTATAGAACCGAGTAATTTAATCCTTCTACGTTTTATATTGGTGTTATAAGTATAATTTATAATTGTGTTAATAAAAACTATCTAAATTCTGACATAGACAGAGCATATGTTCCTCATAGAAGAATTCTTTTGCTGTCTTTAGTTCAATTTACAGGTTTGTATTGTCAGATTCAAGAGTCCAGGTCAGTGTTTAGATGGTTTTCCCTGCACTTCTATCAATTTTACTCGGTTCTATCGTACATGGACTAAATTGCACTTTTGAATATGGTACAAGGACTGCCTAGATACTTTAGCATGTTGAGATGCATTCTCTTGCATTTGCTAATCATACGTGTAATATATGACAATTCATTTTTTTTTTCTTGTGAATGCCTTTTTTACCTTCTTCAGCTTCTAGAGCATACTAAGATTAACTTCTTTTAGTTGATAACCTAAAGGTTATAATACTGGTCATTTATACGAGTCCAATTTAGAATAAGTCAATGTTTACTGATTTTAAAAATATTGTTACAGTGGTAGAAATTATAATTGTCTCCCTAGTTTATGTTTTTGAAGTTCATTATCTTAATTTCTTGGTCTTAACTAAAAAAACATTATCTTAATTTCTTTTGTATTGCTACTGCTGGAAGCATTATACTAGAAAATTTGTTTAGTGTTTGTAATTTATCTGATAAAGAAAGTTCTGATAGTTTCCCTTTCTCTGCCCCCGCTTGGGCGATTCTAGTCTAGTGATATCTTACTATCTTATATGACTTTCATTTTTTTCCCCATTTTCAGTTAGTGTCGGCTGTTGTGTTTGCAGGTATTTTCGAGCGTTTTAGGGGGATTCTTCATGAAGGAGAGATAGATAAACGCGTTCAGTTTCTTATAGAGGGGTTATTTTCTACAAGGAAAGCCAAGTTTCAGGTGTGTTTTTACTCATTTTAACTTTTTCAAAGTCCTTTGGAGGTCACGTACCTTTGTATCAAACAAAAGGAACAAGTTATAATTTTGTTTTCCATGTATGCATTTGTAGGGGTACCCTGCTGTTCGTCCGGAACTAGACCTTGTTGAGCAAGAGGACCAATTAATCCATGAGATATCTCTCCAAGATGAGATAGATCCAGAAATCACCCTTGGTATGTCCCAAAATATCTCCAGCTACATTTTTTGTTTGGTTAACTCCTGGTATGCGATCATGTATACGTTTTACTTGCAGACATTTTTAAACCGGATCCTCAATTCTTAGAGAATGAAAAGCGATATGAAGAGTTGAAGAAAAGCATCCTTGGTGAAGAATCCGAAGATGAAGAGGGTTCAGATTCAGGTTCAGGTTCAGGTGATGAGGAGGAGGAGGAGGAATGTGATGCGGACGATGAAGACCAGATGAAAATAAAAGATGAGACAGACAAATCTTGTAAATCTTCTAAGGACAATCTACCTGACAATCATGTCGAGTGTAGATTTTGAGGAGGCTGGCCATAAGCTGCTAAAAATTAAGTTTGAGCCGGGGCAAGAGGTAACATGATATGTAATGATAGTGTAATATAATAGATCAATCACGTGTTCGTCTTTCCTATTTCCCTTCTGGGTTTGCTGCTTTATGCATTAACCCTTTATCCCTCACAAAACCTAATAGCTTTCCTCTTCATTTATAGTGGAGTGGTTTTCTTGTTTCTTATTGTAGCATTCTGAGAAACTTGTTGCCTTGATTTTTCAGATGGAGTTATGCGTTATGCTCATGGAATGCTGCAGTCAGGAGAGAACTTACCTTCGGTATTACGGCCTTCTGAGGAAACGATTTTGCATGATCAACAAAGTCTATCAGCAGAATTTCGATAAATGCTTTGTCCAGCAGTATTCTATGATTCATCGTCTCGAAAACAAACAAACTACGTAATGTGGCAAAGTTTTTCGTACATTTACTTGGCACAGATGCTCTGCCTTGGCATGTTCTCGCCTATATACGCTTAACTGAGGAGGATACTACTTCTTCTTCCCGAATCTTCATTAAGATTCTCTTCCAGGTAAGTTAGAAGCATATACATGGATATTTTTTACCTGCTTCTTTCCTCTTTTTTATTGGCTGGCTGTAGTTTATTTATCTTTGTGCATTTGGGAAATTGGTTTGTTTCAAACTGGACTTGGATGATATAAAACAAAAACTAATAGTTGGTTGGAAATAAACTTGAACTAGTTGACTACTTTTATATATATTATATATATATATATATATATATATATATATATATATATATATAAAAGTAGTTTTCCTGTATGAGGAAGAAATCTAAGTTAATTTGCGGCGAGTTTTAACATAAATGATATCATATTTACTCTAAAAATATACTTTTGATTAGAGAATGGTTTTAATTTAAAAAGTTACCTTGTTTACACTAAAAAGTCACTCAGTTAGTATTAATTTCGGTTACAACCGAAAAATGTTTACATGAGTTTATTGACGGTAACTCTTTAGGTTTCAACCAAAATAATTATGCAATTTACATAATTTGTTATAGAGAACGTAATATTTTCAGTTTTAACCTAAAATATTACCCAATTTACTCTAAAGCGTTATACACTTGATAAATTTTCTTATTACAATCAATTACAACATTCTTTTAATCTTGTATTAACTGATTGTAGTTTAGACTTCCTGTGTATATATATATATATGTATGAAAAATATTGTAATGTTGATTTTGATACTTGGTAATGGTATAGGAGCTATGGGAGCATCTTGGAATCCGCAGACTGAATGAGCGGCTCTTAGAACCCACAATGTAGGATTCGTTCGAATCTATTTTCCCAAGGGATAATCCCAAGAATACACAGTTTTCCATCAACCTTTTCACTTCCATTGGGCTTGGTGGTGTCACTGAGAATTTACGCGAGTATTTGAAGAACATGCCCAGACTTATCATGCAACAACAGGAACCACCATCAGAATCAGAATCCGGTGATGATTCTGGGAGCACGAATTCATCCGATCCAGAAACTGCTCGTTTGGGGTCAAAGTCACATTCACCAAGCTCTGATGAAAGTGAAAGACGCAGGAAGAAGAGGAGGCGGAGGCGATGAAGAAGTGGCATTTTCACCAAGTCTCAGGTACTTGCTTCTCCTGATTACTTTACCCGTTCAGCTGGGCATTAATTCTTTTTGTTGTTTCAACACTACTGAATTTGCATGATAATAACTAAACAAAGCAAGTTTGGATGCAATTAGAAATAAAATTTTTGAAAGATTTTCCAAAAATATGTATTATTTTAGATGATAATAATAATATACTTTTATAGACCAACAATATTTTATTATGTGTTATAGTTTAATTATTTTTACTCATTTCAATCAATTATAAAAGTGTTGAATATGATAAGTACATAGATACTTATTTATCATTTAATGTTAACAATATTATATTGATTTTATTTTAACTTTTAATTATATTTAAACTAAATTTTATTAACATGATTATTAAAATTGTTATATTTAGTTGTTATTCAAAATTACTCGAAATAATATAAAAGACTATATTTATAACCTTAAAATTTAAAAATAAATAATTTTCAAAAATCAAGATTCACCATTTAATTTTTACTAATATATCAACTAGATTTATAATAAGTATTAAGTACTTGTAAAAGTTAATACTAAAAATTCATAACTTAATTTTTTTTATTAAACAACACTGTTAGGGACATGTGGTTCGTTGCCATCGTTGATATAAGATTATAGAACATAACCTTAGATTTCAGTATAAGATTAAGGTGTTTGGTTCACGAATATTATGGATATGTTATAATGTAATATTATAAGGTGTAATATAAGATATACTCTCATAATATTTTATTTTATATGCCATCTAAGATTATGGATTGGATTAATTTAACTTTTATTTTTATTATATTAATCGATTTAGTCTTTTACCCAATTTAAATTTAAATTTAATTAATAAAAATCTTTTTATTGTATGTACTCTATGATTATATATTTTTTTATTTTATATTTTTTATAAAACTATAAAAAAATAAATTATTATTTAACTCAAAATTCAACGAAAAATATGAAAATTTTAATTATAAAAACTAAAATTTTAAACCAGTAGAAAGACCTTTGATATATTAAAATCTAAATAAAATCATTCCATATTAGCCGAGCAACTGCAATAAATAAATAAATAAATAAATAAAGGTATTCTATATACAAAAGGAGTAAAAGAAATCATTATAGAATAAAAGATATTTCTTTTTCAAAATCTTAAATATAGGACTCAATTTTGCTTACAAAATAAGTTTCATAGTCAGTTGAAATGATTAAAATTTTATCCAAATCCTTTCAGCAGAATAAATTTTAAAAATTAATAAATATTATAATTATATATATATATATGGTGAAGTATTTTATCTTTACAAGTAATTTTAATTATTATCACGTTTTCTTAATTTGATGGCTAAAATAAGCAAATCAATAAATTCAAACAAGGATTGAATTTATTTCAATTTTCATAGTTGCAAATCAACACACAAACGAAAATGAACTCATAAATGATGGCATTGTGTCTGAATGAAAGTCACCGTTTCCTTCTTGAGATCATGAACCACCAACATGTTCTGCTGTTGAACGTTGCCGAAGATTGACATCCCACTCGAACTCCCCATCGCCAAGCATATCACTCCCGAGCTTGAGTCGGCGATCATATAATTTTCTGCCGGTAAATCCAAATCCGCCCCGTCAAAATGGAATATCAATTTCGGTACCTCAACTTGAGTCGAATCCGACGGCAAGCTGAAGCAAAGGTCAAGCCCCGTCGAACTCGAGCTCTCGACCGAAAGCCCCATTTGATAAATGAATTCCATTTTCAGCGCATCGAAAGCAGCTTGTTCTAGATACGTGATGGTGGTGCCGGAGTCGATGATTACACCGCCGGTGCCATCGTCTTCAAGTGCAAAAGTCGATTTCTTGATTGGCAATGGAGTGCTTCCCACGGTAATGCCTTGGAGTGAAAGATAGTAAAAAGATGGCTGTGATGGATTACGTATCAATGGAGTGGTTTTCATTGCCCCTAATGATTCATTCCCACTTGCTATTGGCCCCATCATAAGTAAGCTTTTTTGGGTCTCATCGATGGAGGTTAAGCAATAAGAAAACTTGGGTTCTTTCAATTGTGAAACTAGGGATAATGGTCCACGCCCGAGTCCTACGAGACCGGCACCTTGCGAAAATCCGTCGCCCTCGTTGTCTTCTCCGCACCCGAATCCGATTTTTGGAACCGAAGCCTTGTCAAATATGAATGTATCTCTTCCCATGATCCCTTGCGTCGAGGAGTAATCACCGTATGTGTAGAGATACTCGCATCCATCGTTGCATGTCGATTGTGGTAGCTCGGAGCATAAGTCACTCGAGCAAGATAGCTTGGAAAACGTTGAAGACTTTTCCGGGTCAAAAATCGGGGTAGATTGATTGTAACATTGGGTGCAAGGCTTGCATTGAGTCCATATCAAATCACTCCCGGTGTCCAAGATCGCAGAGTAACCCATCGGTGGTGTCCCGATCGATAAGTCCATTAGAAACTCCCCGTTCCCCGCAACAATAGGTGCTTGAACCGATGCTGAATCCGTGCTCACCGCCGAAACCATGGCATTCAGTTTTTGCAACCTATGATTCCCACGCTTGATCCCACGCTGCATCCGCTCCCATTTAGTTAAATTCTTGCCCGAATCAACATGCCTGAGCTGAACTCTAAACCCGTTTCGGAGCTTATCCAAGTGGTCCAGTGCCCCCCTCGACGTCGAAACTGCCGGTGAGACGTAGAACATGACAATTACCAGTGCCGAAAATGAGACACAACATAAAGAATGGAGTAAAGCCATGGGAATGTAATTAGAGAAAGAGGGAGGGTTTGAAGATAAAAGTGTGGTTGGTGAGATGAAGCAAAGTTATATATGATTGGCGGAAGCTGAAATTGTGTTTGGACAATTAACATTGAAAACACATCGAAAGCAACGGAACTTGAGACAATAATGGAGGAGTAAATATGGGGGAAAATGGAAAAAGACAAGGAGAATAGCTTAGAAGAGAAGATGAAGGCTGAAGTTAGATGTGAGACATGCCATCTTGTACATGGAGGTTGAGATTTCACCACTTTTGCAACGACTTTTCATGGTGGCTGAAAGGATATTTGGACAAAATCAATAATATATATATAGGTATATAGGAATATGATTCAATTACAATTTTTTTAATTTTATATAGATTTAGGATCGTTGAATTAGTAAAAACATACGGCTGAGACTCATAGTAGAAAATGAGAAGATATTCACTAAGAAAAAAAATAAAAAATTAATCTCAACCGTTATTTTCATTCATCCAAGGATTCTAAACATCTGTAAAATTAAAACAGTTTTATATTATTGAAATGGGGTCTAACTCATATAATATATGATGGGGCTAAGGCATGTGTCATGCTTCTCATCTTTAAAGTCTAAAATCTTCTTCATTAGCATTATATTAATATATCATTATTATTTATTATTATTTATGAGTGAATTTGATTTATATATATATAGGATATATAAAAAATCACCTTTAATTTTTTGATAAAATAATTACTTTGACCTTTATTTTTTTAACACTTTGATCTTAATGTTTCATTTTGGGTAAAATACCCTTGACTAGAGGGAAATAGCTAATTGACTAATGATCAATGTTTGTCACGTATATGATAAATTTTGTGTCCAAAGTGATGATGTGACACATAACATGTATCCAAAGTGATGATATATTATATATCGCGTCATCACTTTAGACACAAAAAAGAAATTATCGTGTCATCGACAAACGTTGATTGTTGGTCAACTAACAGTTTATATCCGACTAAGAGGTATTTTGCATCAAAATGAAACGTAGAGAATCAAAATACTTCAAAAAAAAAGAATACAAATCAAAATAATTATTTTATCAAATGTTACCGGCAATTTTATCCTCATCTCTTAAGAAAAACATGTAACAACCCGAATATTTACAAAATAATATTAATTGAAATTGGAGGTAAATTGTGAAAATGGGTGAAATTAAGTGACTAAATTAAAATTTATGGAAACTTGAATGCCATTTTCGAAGTAAAGGAAATTCAGAGACCAAGCCTTGAATTTCCCCTAAAACTGTCGGTAGGCTTGATGATTTAAGCGTGATTTCTGATTTACAATCAGAAATCACAAATGTTATTCCTTCAATTTTCTTCCTCTCACACCTTCACTTTCAAGTCCGATCCAAACGCCGTCCGAATTCCGATCGTTGTTTTGAAACCACCGTTGTGTTCATCATCGAGCGAGGAACAAACCCTTCAAATTAATTGAAGCGAAACGCGGCCAAACGTCGGGAATTTCCAGTCAAAGTAGCGACGGTTTTGTTAGCTCTATCGCCGAGAAAATCTTAAATTCACCGCTGACCGTTGCTCCGTTTACGACACCTCCCGCACCATCGTGTTCCTTGTGTCGTTCCGAGTTCACCGGTGTCAACCTTGTCCGCCGTAGACGGCGGCGCGTGAGGAGGTGGTGCAGTCAAAGATTCGGCCGATTTGAAATCGAGCTCTCCGCCATTCAAAAATTTGAACCGATCGTTGTAAGTATCTCGAAATCGCTCAAAAAATTTTTAGAAATTTTTCCGGGATTTTTAGGGCCCCGGAAGACGCCTCACGCGCCACACGCGCAGTCGCAGGGCGAGTGGCTGCTGGAAACCGGTTTAACCGGTCTGACCCGACCCGACCGTTGACCCGACCCGACCGGACCGTTGACCGTTGACCGTTAACTTTCTTTGACCAAAACTTAAAATGGCTTTGACCGAGCATTAAACGACCGTTAATCTTTTCCGAGTATACCTATCCTGATAGTTTTCGACGTGCCAAATCCGTTTCCGCTGTCCGTTTCGTCAAATTCGAACCCGAAGGACTCCAAATCGACGGTCAAAGTAGTTGACTTTGACTTTGACCAAGAATCTGAATTTTTGAAAAGTCATACTTTATGTTTTTCGACGTCCTGATTCCGATTCCGCAATTCGTTTGGCCAAATTCAGACTCGAAATACCCCAAATTGATAGTCAAACCCGAAAAATGCTTATATACTTAAGAAGTCTAGTTTTGAACAATTAAATAGGATTTGGGACTGATAGATTATTATTGTTTAAAGGTACAAGAGACTCTCCGGATCGTTCGACAACTCGACCCAGCTCTTCTAGATCAGTTAAACCACGTGTGCCATTATTCACGCGTTCGAAAACGGTAGCAGAGCGTGGTGACACCAGCAATCATTAGATTTGCTATTTGAACATATTGTCGAGGTGTGTTCCCTACTTATTACTGAACTGTTTTATTGGTTTTAATATATGGTACACCGAATTCATTTGGTTATTGAATTACGATGGAATAGCTCTGATCAAGCTAAATGGGCCTAATGTGACTCTTGAGGGCCCCAAGATATTTCATTAGGTCGGCTTTCCTTTGCTGTGTGCTTTGGGTAAGCTATATGGACTTATTGACTTGGGTTTAAGGATACAAGCTTCAGAGCCTATCCTTAAGTCGGCTTTCTTTTTGCTATGTGCATAAAGTAAGCTATATGGAAAATAATTTTGAGAACTACTGATGGTGTACCAGAAAAGGGTTTGAACTATGATTTTCAAAAGTTAAACTCTTTAACGAATTTGTGAGATTATTGGACTATGATTTGTACCTATTGACAGTTTATGGAAATGTTGGGACACACTGAGCCTAGCTCACCTTTTTAAAATGTTTTCCCCCCTTTCAGATACTGTTGGTTAGATACCTCGGTTCGAGCACTTGGAGGATCAACATATCTCTTGAAGTGAATCAGATTGTAATGTTTTTATCTTGCAAGTTGACTTTATTTTGGTGACATAGACCTTATTTTAAATATCGGATTTTATAATGATGACTCTTTTGCTAGTACTGCGGTTTATTGTGATTTTGAATTTGAAGACATGTTTTAAATTAAATTATTATTTATTGGTACTATATTTACGAGTTGGATTTTGATAGTATAATTTGTTTCTAATTTCATGTTATTTATAATGTGAATTTATATTGATAGAATAACGATTTCAGAAAATGTCTTTAATAATCATAATGTGATCCACTAGACTTAGTCAAAACGCATAGGCCGGGTCTAGGGGGTTACATTTATTGGTATCAGAGCTTTTGGTTTTTAACCCTCGGACTGTGTATGAGTCCACATTAAAAATACGGTTTTGAAATATTTTACAAAATGAGTTACTAAGGCCATGTCACAAAGTTATTAAGATTTTAACTATGTTTGAGACTCCAAGTGCTTATCTAACCCTAAGTTTTATCTTCTGTAGTAAACTTGAGATCCATCAAATTGAGTGCTAGACGTGGTCGTCGAACTAGCCGTGGACGAGGTCGAGTGGCTAGATTCGCAGATCCGATCGATGAGATACGGGTAGATCCCCCACCTCCGATAGGTGATCATGCTCCTACGACCCCAACGGATCTGCCTCCTGCCGCTGGTATTGGCATGACTACACCGATAATAGGAGCGACCGATATTGAGTCAGAGTCTACCGGAGTTGCTTTGGATGAGAATTTTGGTAGACAATTTCTGCAGTTAATACAGGGAGCAGTCAGAGCTACTGGTGTTGTATCTGAGGTTCCTATTTCGCAGACTTTGATTGCCAATGGAGTTAGAACTTTTAGGGGACACATAGGTCGAGCTCCTACTGAAGCTGAGGATTGGCTCCAGGATACAGAGAGACGCATGGATCAGTTGGGTTTGGACTCAACTAAGAGATATCAGGGTGCTGTGGCAATGTTAGATGGCAATGCCTACACTTGGTGGGAGTCAGTGACCAGTAGTGTTCCTACCGATCGTTTGACCTGGAATTTCTTTAAGGATCGCTTTCGGAGCCGTTTTCTGGGAGAGCGCTACTTAGCTCAAAGACGACAACAGTTTCAAGACCTGGTTCAGGGAGACATGACTGTTTCTGAATATGAGATCGAGTTCCTAAAGTTGCTGAAGTATGGATTCAGTAGGGTACCTACGGAGAGAGATCGATGTCGTAAATTTGCCCTTGGACTCAGATACGAGCTGCGTAGGCAAGTTGTAACCCATCAGGATGAGATATTTGATGTGCTGGTGGGCAGAGCCAAAGATGCGGAAGAGGTGGAGGTTTTAGCTTCTGGTAGAGAGCGTGTTGATCAAGATCGATCTAAGAAATTTTCAGGCCCGATGGAGTCATCAGCACAGTCCGGGAAGAGGACTCGTACTTCAGCCCCTCAGAGAAGCAATACACGTTTCAGGCCTACATCATCCTCACCTTTAGCTGTCAGTCAAGGCAGTTCCTCGTCGTATTATAATGGGCCCCTTTGTGAGTATTATGGTAAACAGCACTCAGGAGAGTGTCGTAAGAAGATGGGTCTTTGCTATCAGTGTGGATCTAGTGGTCATTATCGGAGGGATTGTCCTCAGTTAGTTTCGTTTGAGCAGACCATTACCCAAACTCCTGTGCGTTCGCAGACTACAGTACATACCCTAATTAGAGATCGTAGTTAAGGAAAGACTCGAGGATCAGCGTCCAGGACAGACAGTAGAGCCCGACCTCAGCAAAATACAGGGCCAACAGCTTCTGAGGCTAGACAGCCAGCGTTAGTTTATGCAACTAGACGTCGTGATGACAGAGATGAGCCTGAGGTTATTGCAGGTACATTTACTATTTATTCTACCCCATACTTTGCATTATTGGACAATGGCTCCACTCACTCCTATGTATCGAGCTCAGTATCTCGAAACCTTCAGATTCCGATCGAGAACACTGAAAATACTGTTACAGTTACAAGTCCAGTAGGGCAAGCGGTATTAGTGAATAAAATATTCCGGCGTTGTCCTCTCGAAGTTCAGGGAGAAATTTTTCTCACTGATCTTATGGAGCTTCCTTTAGAGGAGTTCGATCTAATTCTTGGAATGGATTGGTTGAATAAACACAAGGTAAAGCTGGATTACGAATACAAGCGGGCTACTCTGAAGACTTCAGATGGTCGGACTGTTGTGTTAATTGGTGAACGGCGTGGTTATCTCTCCAATATAGTTTCAGCGATGGAAATTGATCATATGATCCGGAAGGGATAT